CAACGGTGCATGTTAATTCTTAGAGAAGAGGAGAGGGGTCCCAAGTCCCAAGGTTCTATGAACAGAGGTTAGTGTTGAGATTTCTTGATTCTCATCGTTTGAGCAAAGGCCCGTCTCAACAAGAAAGATGGGCGTGGCCCAACCTTTTGACCAGAGAGAGACAGATGATCTGTGTCAGTTCCTAGCTCATCATTCAGCAGCTGGTGGGTAAATTCCATGACTCTAAGGGCCTGTGTTTTCACAACTGCAAGATGGGGTGTGCAACCCCTGCACAGGGCTGTCGAGAGAGCTCCTAAGATGGCTCCTGGAAAGTGGGGAGCAGATGATAAGAACTAGTCATTATTGTCTCATCCCCTGTGAAGGTGAAACTGTTCTTAGGCAGTGGGGAGCCCTGCACTCCAGTGCCATCTGGTGTCTCATGGCCCAGTCTGGCTCTGCAAGGGTAGGTGCTGCAGCAGTGCTGAGAAGTAAGGGTGTGTGCTGCTGTCACGCACAGCTCAGGCTGGGGCCTAGCAGCTGCTTGCACATTCAGAAAGCATCTTCCATGCTGTGAAATACTTTGTTCCCTTGACAGGAAGTGACTCAGCCACTGTGCCCAAGAAATGGCAGGAAGCCATTGCTATATCGGACTGGGCACCCCAGGAGTGTGTGAGCTTTTCTTCAGAGAAGATTCCCTTCCAATCCTTTCGCAGTCTCACGCTGATGTCTGGAAGGGATATGGAACATTCTGTTTAGATAGGGGTTCATCCTCTGTTGACACGTGCTGAAATCATGCACTGTCACTCCAGGAATCCCGACAGAGCCCCCTTTAAAATCAAATAGCATCTGGCATTTCATAGTAAAAGCTCCTGGCTCCACTGACCCCCAGATTAGCTTTGGGTGTCTGTTCATCTCCCATCAGTGAGAGTGCTGCTATGTGATCTGTAGGCTGGAAGTGAGGATGCAGGGGAGCCCTTTCATGGGACTCTCCCCGCCAAGGTTTAACTTCAGGTGTTTTTCTGGGGCTTCAATACCCACTTTGTAGCTATCAGTTTCTTCAAAATCATGTAGGGCTGTGGGGATGGAGGATGTAGAATGAGACTGATGTGTGCATCAGATGGTTGCTGAAGCTGGGTAATGGCTAAAGTATCCTTTCCACTTTTGTTATTTTATAATAGGCCACATTTTAAAAAATAATAATATATTTGATCCCAACAAAGAAACAGTTTTTTCCATCCCAAATCATCACATATACCTCAGTCCTGCCCTGTTCTCTGAGATATCCCCTAAGCTACTAGACCAGCTTTGCTCACCAGCTTAGGGCTATGCTTCCATTTAAGAAATTTGGCCCTGAGACTGGAGAGATGATGCAGTGTTTAAGAACACTGGCTACTCTTGCAGAGGACCCAGGTTCATTTACATGGTGGCTAACAACTGTCTGTAACTCCAGTTCTAAGGGATCCAGTGCCCTCTTCCGACCTGAACTGGTATTACATGACATGGGTGCACTTACATACATGCAGGCAATGCATTAATACACATAAAATAAAAATAATAAATAAAATATTTAAAAAGAAATGTGTCTGTAAACAGTGATAGGGACAGCAGTATATCCACATCCTTGCTTTAGCTTTAGGGAGTGGTAAGAATCCTAATGAAGTCCTGTGTTTGGGCCTCAGAGATTGGTAGAACTGTTACAGTGGACACCAGTGAAAGCTAACATACCTTCCAGGGATATGTAATCCCTCCACCCATTTCTGGAGCCTTTTGGAAGAATCATTTAAAATCCTCACCCTAGAGAGAGGGAGGAGTTACAAGAGTCCTTTCTCAGAGGTCAATTCTTTTCTGTAATTTCTGCTTTATCTATTAGACCTAGTACAGATCCATGTTTCCTTATCAACAGTACCAAAATCCAATCACTTGGTGTGAAGATTCATATTCTACTGCCAAAATCCTGATGTGTTTGATTACAGGGTGCTGCTCAGGACCGTGTTGAGGGTGTTAATGCAGTTATGTCCCGTATGCACCATATTGCCTCCCTAAAATAAAATTAGAAACAAAAGCCTGAAGTTCAAATCCAGTTTGGCTCCAAGGTTCTACATAGGAGCTCTGGGCCTGGATTACTTCTATAAAGGAATATAACATGTCATGTTACTTTAAAAGCCAGCCTCAGGGCTAGGAATGTAGCTCAATGGTAGAGCACTTGCCTAAAATGCATGGGTTCCCCCCACCCCTAGTAACACACACACACACACACACACACACACACGCTTGAAAGCAATGAAAATGTGCTGGGCATGATGGAACACACAGGAAGATCATAAATTCGAGACAAAGCTGAGGTATATGAGACCGTTTCTCAAAAGATAAATAATATAAAAATTAGACCTTCCCGTGTATAAATATGATGGTCCCCAGCAGTGCAGGAAAGCCCTGCCCTATCTGTCTTTTTGGCTGTCTTCTAGGCTCTATCATGACCACTGATAATGGCCTCCACTCTTCTGAACCCTCACTTCTTCACAGGGCAAGCAGAGGCTACAAAGTCTAGACCCCTCAATGACAGGCAGAAACTGAATGAGCAAGCCTTCTTGTGACTGTCCCATTCTTTTATCTTGTCTATCTCTAATGAGTAGTCCAAGGGGCTCTTGGGGAAGACAGCTCTACTCTCCACTCCCACATTCCTGCCCTCCACCATTGTATCCAATCATCAAGTCACAGCACCTAAAACAAAAATGAGAAAACAGAAAAAAACAAAAATGAGACAACATAGAAAAAACAAAAATGAGAGGCTGGAGAGATGGCTCAGCAGTTAAGAGCACAGGCTGTTCTTGCAAAAGACCCAGGTTCGAGTCCCAGCAAACACATGGCAGCTAACAACTGTCCATAACTCCAGTTCCATGGGATCCAATACCCACTTCTGTCTTCTGTCTTCCTCGGGGATTGCACGATAGGGATGCACTTATATACATGCAAGCAATACACACATACACATAAAATAAAAATAATAATAATAAAAAAGAGACAACAGAAAAAAAACGAACCACAGATTTCACAGCTTTCTCCCGATACTGCCCTCCCGCTCCTTCCAAGGCTGACTTCTCCAAGGACTAGCTTGTATTTACAGCCCCTACTTCCTCCCCTCTGTTTCTGTCCTCTCCTCCCACTACCTGGCTGGGCCTTTGGATCCCTGAACTGCTAAGCTTATATGTGACCTCCTGGCTGTTGACTTCCTTCCTGGGGATCTGTCCTGGGAACACTGACCCCTTTTTCTCACAATGCAGCTTCCTTTGGGTATCCCTCCTGCTTCTGCTCCCTTGGAGAAGACTTCCTCTTCCCTTCATGAAACTTTAGAGATGGATTTGGCCCCAGCCTCTTCTCACTCTCTAGCGATAGCTTTACTTCCTGTAGGGACATAAGCTGCTCACAACCCCTCCTTTCAGCTGTGCTCTTTCCGATCAAACCTCAAACTATTCTAAGTGCTTACTTGACATCTCCTGGCACATTAAACTCAGCCTCCCCAAAACTATTGTCTTGTCCTGCCCTATACCTGCCCTGTCCAACCCCATAGACCCCCTCTACCCCCAGCTCCATCTCCAGGCACTCAGCGCAGGCCCTCTCTGTCTAGCATACCCATTTCCAGTTCATCTAGCTCTAAGGTCTTGGTTTCTCCAGCTTAAATCCTTCCATCATCACAGGCAAAGTGCTTTCTTGCACTACCACCTGCCACCTGGACCCCCAGAAGGTGTTTCCTTGCAGCTTCCTGGCTGTATACACTGGTGACTTTTTAAAAATTTAAAAAAATATTTTATTTATTATTTTTATTTTATGTGTATGAATGTATTGCCTGCATGTATGTGAGTGCACCCGTGTTGTGCAATGCCACGGAGGTCAGAAGAGGGCATAGGATTCCCCTGGAACTGGAATTAAGGACGGTTCGTAGCTGCCATGTGGGTGCTGGGAATCAAACCCGGGTCCTCTTCAAGAGCAGTCAGCTCTAAACTGCTACGCCATCTCTCCAGCCCCCACTGGTGACTTTTAAAGATGCACATCTGATAGTGGCCCTCCTTTTTCAGTCCCTTGGTGTTTCATTGGTGGATCAAGTGCTGTCTTGGGATGAATACAAAGATCTCTACAGCTCTTTGGCTCACTGGATTCTCTCAGTTCCACCTGTACTACCCCACCTGCACTGCCTCATCTGTACCAGTTCACCTGCCCAAACCCTCCTGCATCACCTCACTTGTACTATCTCACCTGCACCATCTCTCCTGCCTACTTTCCTACCTGCACTCACTTGCATACCCACTTGCACCAACCCATTTTTCACCACCTCAGCAGTATAGCTCTGCCTCCTCATGGTGTAACCACTGAGGCCACTTCTTTATACACCACCCTCTAATCACACTGATCCCTCTGCCCTAATGCTCCCGTCACCCCTGCTGTCACCTGTCAGATTCAGGCTTGAGGATTCTTTCCCTTGGGAAGCATCCTTGCCTCCTAATCCTCCTGTTATAGGCGCTCTGGAACACTGAGTGATTAGATGTCACAGTCTTTGCTACATTTGCAATATAGCATCTGCTGGTGGGATGAATCTACCGACATCCATCTTTAGATCTAGACCATAAACTCCATGGATGCTGGGACCCTGCTAGCTTTCACTCTCCTCAACCCCTGCCTCGAGGAACAAATGGTAAAGACAACTGGATTTAAAAAGGGCTTTGAAAATAGCCCCATACCTCCAAATGCTCTTGTGGTTCTGGCTCCTTTGTAAGCTCTTAGCATTCGCTTTTACTTACCAGGCCTTACAACAATCCTTTAAAGTTGACACTCTTGTTATTTGTTTTCTGTACTCGAGGAAGCTAAGGCTTAGAGGAATTAGGTGAATTGCTCAGGATCCCACAGCTTACTACTAGGCCATGTTGCTTCTGAATTCTGTTGCAGTTGAAGAAATGATGGGAATGGTGGGCACATGATTAAAACCATCATCTCTGTCTCTTTCTTTGCTTCCATGGTTATCCCCATAGCTGGACAAGATGCTTGACCCCCAAGTGTGGCGGGAAGCAGCCACACAGGTCTTCTTCGCCCTGGGGCTGGGCTTTGGTGGTGTCATCGCCTTTTCCAGCTACAACAAGCAGGACAACAACTGCCACTTCGATGCTGCCCTGGTGTCCTTCATCAACTTCTTCACCTCGGTGTTGGCCACCCTTGTGGTGTTTGCTGTGCTGGGCTTCAAAGCCAACATCATGAATGAGAAGTGTGTGGTCGAGTAGGTGGAATGGCCCCTTTGGTCCCTCCGTTCCCTACCTGCTTCACCCAGGGGTAGCAGGTGGGCTGGGCAGGGTGAGAGGTCCCTTCTATTCCACGAGGAATGAAATCATCATCTGTCTCAACTCTGGCCCACAAGGACAGGCTCAGAGATGTTTCCGTCAGTGTCCTGCAAGTGGCCTAACTGGCTTTCTGGGAGGGGTCTCCAGGGTCCCATTCCTGCCTTCTTACCCAGTCCTCTCCTGCTTTGTACTGCAGGAATGCCGAGAAAATCTTGGGGTACCTCAACTCCAATGTCCTGAGCCGAGACCTCATCCCACCCCACGTTAACTTCTCGCACCTGACCACCAAGGACTACACAGAGATGTATAATGTCATCATGACCGTGAAAGAGAACCATTTCTCAGCTCTGGGCCTGGATCCCTGCCTCCTGGAGGATGAGCTGGACAAGGTACAGGGACAGGTTGCCCTTCCCAGGACAGGCAAGGGACCCAGAGACAGGCTTGGTAGAGACAGGCTGGAGTTTGGGTACAGGCGTTGAAAGCTCACAGGGAATCATTCATTTACTAACAAGCAAGGACTCAGTACGTGTTCAGACTGAGAGACAGGAAGGGCATCAGCCAAAGCCTGGCCCTGAGGTAAACTTGTGATTAGACGGGGAGCCAAGGAAAATAATCACAGGAGCCTTTGTCAGTGTGGGGCAACTTCCCCATTTATTGAGCAGGCTCCCTGTGCACAGGGCCCTGTGTATACAATGCACTTAGAACAGTGCCTGCGAACAGGTAGGTGCTAATATCTTCCCTTTGCTCTCCATTTCCTCTGACCCTTATGGTAGCCCTGAGTTCAGTATTAATATCCTGATTTATCAATAAGCATTGTGTAGGAGGCCTTGATCAATGTCTCACAGCTAGTTAGTAGATAAACCAAAAATATGGTACTCTGGAGAGCTCTGCATCATCCCTTGAAGGTTCTGTCTCCTCCTGAAGCTGTCCCCACTTCCATTAGCATATAATGACTCTTAGCTCCCAGGCTAGAGCAGAGATGCTGCCTCTTCATTAATGTTCAGGTTCCGGCACCACTAGGCACTTTCAAAATGACTCTTCTAACAGAAGAGGTTAACAGAATTGAGAAACTCATAGGTCCTGGAAGCCTGGCTGGAGCCAAGGCTCATGTGGGTAAGAACAGCCCCCCCGCCCCTCGAGTTGCTTCATGGGACCAGACATTTCCCATAGACATTCCGGAGCTTCATGTTAAAGGCAGCTCTCCTGCCTGTTGGGAAAGTGCTTGTCTAGAATGCACATGGCCCCTGATTTGATCACTAGCACTGAAAAACAGAAAGATGGATTAACAGGAGAAAAGCATAAAGGCAGTTCCACTAGATGGAGGGAGCTGTGTCCTACATCTCTGACCCTTCTCAGATGATCAAGAGCAAAGATTGGAGAACCCCTAGCCTGGTGACTGGCAGCATCCTCCCATTCTACAAAAACCTGCCCATTCTCGTGGGCATGGCCTGGTCCCCTGATAAAACAAGGATTATAGCAGTTTTGTAACACAAAGCAACCTCAATAGCATCTAAATGGCAAGAATTAAAAACTCAGGTGGGGGCAGGTATTCCCTCAAGATCACAGAACAGTGTGTAAGTGATGTGGACAGGTAGTGTGTGGGCAGATAGTTATGAACCTGCACACGCATTAAAGCAATGGCTTTCTACTTGGGCTGTCCATCAGAATCCCCTGGCGGCTTTATAAAATCTCAGGCCAGCCTTAACCCAGACCAATGAAACCATTGTCCCTGGGGGAGACTCAGGCACAAGGTGGGTATTTAAAGGCACCTGTTAATTCCATTAGGCAGCTGAGCTTGAGAGTATTGCATTAAGGACTGGAGTTAAGGAATTCAGAACTGGATGTGGCGGGTGTGGGTGTAGTAATCAGATGATGTCTTAGAGAAGCAGGGTCTTACACTGGGCATGTTTCTAGACCTGAGCATCTTCACCTGGACCACCTGTGGGTTGCAGGTTCCCTGGAGGACTCCCCTGGGAATTTTAAAAAATACTTTGGTTTAGTTTGGTTGTTTTGTTTTGAGAGTCTTTCTCTGCAGCCCAGGTTAGCTGGAACTCACTGTGTGGCCCAGGCTGACCTTGAACTCATTGCAATCCTCCTGCCTCAATCTCCTGAGTTCTGGGATAACAGATGTGAGCCACTGTAGTAGGCTTCCTCCATAGATTCTGATGCCCACTAAAGTTTAAGATACATTGGCCCAGGTTGATAAAATTCAGGTGGCTCTGGGGATCTCTGTGAAAGAAGGAACAGTAATTCCTATAGCCTCAAGAACAGAGGGAAGGAGGCAGGGGACTTTGGGGGTCATGGGCGGCTCTTACTCTCTGTCCCACCCTCAGTCTGTGCAGGGTACAGGCCTGGCCTTCATCGCCTTCACTGAGGCCATGACACATTTCCCGGCGTCCCCATTCTGGTCTGTCATGTTCTTCCTGATGCTCATCAACCTGGGCCTGGGTAGCATGATTGGGACCATGGCGGGCATCACCACACCCATCATCGACACCTTCAAGGTGCCCAAGGAGATGTTCACAGGTAACTCCCTGCAGGTCTCCTGATCCCAGCTTGCCCATGTACAAGACAATTAAGTTCTGACTCTGGCTATAGAAAGCTTGGGTTCTGACTGGGTCCTTCAGCATCCCATCCCCAGAAGGCTCTGCTCCCTGACTAAGACACAGCTGGACTGGGATGTGTCACTTGGCCACCAACACTGTCAGCATACCTGTCTCCTCTCACCTGCATCCCTGGAGTGGAGGGGGGATGGAAGGGTGGAGGAGTGGTGGAGTATCTTCCTGTTCTCAAAATGGGGAAACTGAGGTGGAAGAAGGGAGCCTGGAACTAATCTGATGAGTCATTTCAAGTCAGTGCAGTAATTAAGTAGGGCAGCTGCCTTGAGCTTGGTACTGTGCCAGAGGCAGGGGGCATGAGAGAAGAACACAGTCTTTGCTCTCCTCAAGAGGCTTCCCACCTGGCAGAGGGGGAACTCAGAATCCCAGTTTTGAACTCTGTCTTGCAGAGTTGCACCCACGGGTGGCGGGGGCAGTCTGCAGGCCTTCTGGGGAGCAATGTGATGGGAGGGATTTGGGTGTCCCCAAGATTCCCCAGGGCCCCAGCCACCCTGCACCTTTGCCCCCACACCCGCCTCCCGGCTCTCTGTAGTGGGCTGCTGTGTCTTTGCATTCTTCGTGGGGCTGTTGTTCGTCCAGCGTTCCGGAAACTACTTTGTCACCATGTTTGATGACTACTCTGCTACCCTGCCACTCACTGTCATCGTCATCCTTGAGAACATCGCCGTGGCCTGGATTTATGGAACCAAGAAGTAAGGGGGTATGGGGGAGAGGAGGGACAGGAGGAGGATTCTGTCCTATTATGACTTCCTGGAGAGTCCTGTGTTCTCACAGGTACTTGTGAAGGGCAGGAGGAGACCACAGACTACTAGAGCTAAAGGAGCCTTTGGTCCAGGGAAACCAAGTCTTAGAAAGAGGACATGACTCTCTGAGGCCACTTGACTAGTAAGAGATAAGGCCATACTGAGGACCCTCAAGTCCTGGGTTCAGGTCTTGACCCATCCTAAGTTATTTCATTACCATGGCCCCTTTGCTGGATACCAACTCCTCAGATGTCTGTTAGGCTTGTTTAGCACTTGGTGGGGATTCCAGGGTCCCCTGCCCTAAAATGAATGATAGATTTTGGCAGCCTGTTTGATAATTTTAAGAGGTGGGTTTTTGCCTCAAGTTTAAGGTTGGCAGAGAAAGAGGATTAAGCAATCAAAGGAGATCTAGTCTCACGGCATGACCTTGAAGCAGACCTCCATGTACTGTCAGCTCTTATTTAAGGTCAAATCTGTATTCCCAGGGAACTCCAGAACTGTGACCTTTCTACCCTCTCATGTTTCCTGTGGCCACTGTCATTGTCCTCAGAAGGGCGTCCACTAACCACCTCGCCTGACCCTCCTTGATGCCCAGATGGGTTTGGAATCAGGGATCTCCCACAGGAGTCATTGGCTCCCTGGGATAGCACGGGAGGAGGGGCAGAAAGCACAAGAAAAGGAGCAGTCCAGAAGGGTGTGATGACACATGCCTGTAATTCCAGAACATGAGAGTCTGAGGCAGGGTTGCCATGAGTTTGAGGCCTGCCTGGGCTACTACGTAGTGAAGCCCTGTCTCAAAAAAAGATCAACAGCAAAAAAGAATGAAGAGAAAATGGAGAGAAGGAAGGAGGAAAAGAGGAGGATGGAGAGAGGAGGGGAGAGGAGGGAAGGAAGGAGGACTCAGGCACCAATTTTTCCATGTCCACCCTGTAAGCTAGGGCTGGAAGGTACTGACCCTGGGTGCTGTGAACTCCTGCTCAGTTTGACCATGTTCTTGTGCTTCTCAAAATATCTTTATTTTTAAACTTAAAAAAAAATTATTTTATGTGTATGTGTGTATTGCCTGCATGTAGGTAAGTGCACCCGTGTCGTGCAA